AGAGAGAGAGAGAGAGATCCACCGGAACAAGGCATGGCTCCAATGGTGGGTGACATTCTTTCTTATTTTCATAACATCCAATAGTACAGTTGATAGTGATGACCCAATGGACTATGATTTTTTCGTAGCCTATTGTCTATTAGTATGATATAAGGGCATAATTCTATAATATGCTTCATACCGAGTCTATAATATGCTTCATACCAAGCTTCTTGACTGCTAGCAATGAAAGATGAATACATAGCTTCATGAAACTTAAGCCATGGCATAGACATTCTTGTTTAGTCGCAATTCACTCCATTAAGACTACAGCCAATGTTCAAGAAGGCGGTGGCGCCAACCTAGGCGGATTGGCGGCCTTGCCGCCAGGCGCATGCTAAGAACAAGGGTGCTCCCCCCCCCCCTCCCTCTCTCTCTCGAAGGCCAAACTTAAAAGGCTTTTCAGCTAATTCACTTTAAAAAATGCCCACAATAACACGAAATAACACTGGGCCAAAATTTTCATAAATTCTCAAAGTTTGAAAATTTGGTTAAAATTTTCTGCTCAAAATTTTCTGCCCACAATGTGATTTTGGCTCTCAACATGAATGGTCCCCTCCAAAAAACGTTTGAGCAATGTGGGCGATTCTGCTTGAGGCAGCCGCCTAGGAGCAAGGATGCCCATGATTCTGCTTGAGGCGGCTGCCTAGGCGAGCACCTAGGGGCAAGGATGCCCAGGGCACCCACCTAGGCACCACCTAAGCATTTTGGCCTCCTTGATAGTAACCACCTTTTCTTAACTCACTTTTTGGCTAATAACCTTTTCTATCTCACTTGAGTTGTCCTCAAGCTTTTATTAAGCACTCAAGCAATATATGTTAAACTGCACCATGTTGTTCTGCTATTGTATCAAGAAGCCCTTCTGCACAATATGCTCTTTGAATGGACTTTCCTTTCATTTTATCATGTATACTCTGAGCGAGTGTCAACTGCTGTTGTCTAGCATCTTTTAATGTGTTGTGGAATTTTCTATTGAATGCCCTTCTATGGGAGATATAAAGAGTTGATGGCCCAATGCAACTTGCTGGGACGGGAAGAGAGTCATTCACTTCAAAAGCTTCAGAAGGCTATTGAAAAGATTAACAAGCTGAAGGTTCCCCTCCTATTTGATCTCTTGGATCAGTTGTCTTATTTCTTTGTGTCTGATTTTATACATGTGTGCTTACACACAAAAACATATCTACTTATGTATGTATGTATGTATGTATGTATGTAGATCACGAAGCATGATGAAATCTGATTGGATGTATAATGTGATCCCGCTGAAGTCAATCCCTAATAGCCCATTCAAAGCATTTTGGTTAAAAAGGTTTTCAGTTTTAATTGCTTTGAACTGATTTAGTATTTACATAGATGATGATGATAGATTTCCATCTGATTTTGAGCATCTTTTGTTTATTTTTTTGATCTGTACCAATTTTAGATATTTCATTGTTATGTGAACAAAACAATTTCTTTCTAGCCATTTGATGAGAGAAATTTGATCAAACAGCTAAATTATTTCCAAATCTATTTGATTGTAACATAGCTTTGTGAAATGAATCAGGGAAGAGTACAAGTAGAGAGAGTTCTTGAAGAGAAAGAAAACAAAGCATTACGGTCCCTGACGATCTTCAAATGTGTAGAGAATGGTGCTTATCTGAGCAGGTTTGAGCTGAATTCAGTGAAAACAATTGCTCCTGGTGGTTTATCAACTAAAAAGGAAGAGAAATCCATCAAACCCATCTCAATTGACGTCGAATCTGATGCTTCTTTCATCATAGATGACCATGGGGGGAATCCTTCTACAGTGCCTGAGACTCCAAGCACTGGCTTGGAACCTCAAATTCAAGCACATATTTGCAAGGAAACTGAGGCCCACAAAACTAATTTGTAAGGACCATTGACAAAAAATGTGCCCCCCAAATCAGGGAATGTAAAGGTGGTTGAGAATAAGAGAGATGGAGCAGTTAACAGGCCACTTGATACAAGCATGCAGGAATCACTTTTTGCTGAAAGCTTAGAAAATATATCTTCCTTCATTCCCATTAAGAAGGAACCTTCAGTTGTCCATATTGATTCGATTTCAACTCCTGGTAGTCTTTCTTTGAGTTACAGGAACTGCAGTCTTTTGCAAATGCATTTTAGTTATTATAAAAGCTAATAAACAGATTCTTTTTTCCATTTCTTGACATTCAAATCCTGTATTTAGGAATTTTTCAAGGAATTCTACAGGATATTTTCACAATTTTTAGTTTTTCTTAGAAATTCTCAAGAAAACTTGGGAGTAAGTTTAAAAAGGAAAATTTGTCACTAAGGAAACTAGAAAATATATGAAATGAAATCACTGTTATAAAATTCATTTAATGGAGAGGTGAGTTAATTTGCAGGATTTATTAGCTTGATGGCATCAAGCATGAGAGCTAGTGCAAAGTGGTGCAGGCCAGCTTAAAGTGAGACATGTTCATCTGGATCATCAATTCCAAGACATGGGGTCAGTGGTGATCTAGTAGCTGTTGGATCAGATGGCAGGGTTGGAAGGATCAAAGTATTAAGATCCCAGAACAGCTTCTTTGTAGGTTCCCTTTTAGTTATCTTAGTTTTTCCTGCAGCTTTCTGATTTACTTCTATTATTTTCTTTGCTTGGTTTATGCTATTGCTGGCCATGTTCTGGTTTTGAAGACTCATACTCTGCTCAGTTTCTTTGGCATGCATAATATATGTTCTTAAATACACAACTCTCTCTCTCTCCTCTCTCTCTCTCTCATGCTCAAACACAGAATACATACACACATGCCATCACTCCTTTTAAGTGGCAGAGTTCTTTGTTGGTTTCATACAAAGGCTTAACATCATTGTCTTGATAGTTATTGCCATCATCATGCATAAAGTTATTGCCTCATATAAACTTTTTCCTAAAGTAATTTACATGATAGCATGTCTCTTAATATAACAGTCAATCACGAATACTGTTATACTGGCAATTGTAACGACCGTTTTCATGTTTTGTGAACCTTGCTTCTATCATTTAATGAGCTCTGTTTGTGAATATATAGGATGTGGGGCATGAGGGGTCATTGTGGGAAAAGGTTCCCAAGAGGTGCAAGATTGGTGCCAAGCAAAGCAATTACAATAACAACAATAACCGTAATCAGTCTCGTGGCTGGCTCCAAATTGAGCATTATTTTCAAAGATGAGCGCGATGATGGAAGGCTGCATGTGTATGCATGATCTTTTTGTAAATGTAAATTTGTTATTTTGAATTGGAGATGCCCATTTGTAAATGGGTTGCCAGCAAGCAAACCAATTTATTCATTTTGCTATGCTAATGGATAGCATGCTAATCAACTGTGGCTCTCTTAACAGTGTACACAACGGATAATGGAAATCCAAGATTGGCACCATGCTGCCGTAAGGAATGCCCATGCAACTTGTATGTTTGTATAAGTTTATTGATAGAGAGATTCTTTGGCGTAAAGCATATTTTGTTTAAAATTTATTTCCATTTTTAGTTCTTCATAGTAAAATTTTTATAGTATTTCACTTATGACTCATCACCATCCAAAGTCCATCATAAAGTTATGAATATACTGACATTCGCAAAAGAATTTTAAAAATTAAATGCTCTTTGTTTAGTTATTTTGGTATTGGATGGTAATTGGCAAAGGACAACAAAATAAGCAATGTATTATTTAACTAACAATGAAATGTTCCATTAGACTTGATTAAGACTTGATATAACGAAGGGATATAGCAAGTTTGGTTCACGTGAAAATATTTTTTGGAAAACATTTATATAAAAAAATTATATCATGAGGTCAAGTGTGAGAATATTTTCATATCAATTGATCTTATTGCATCTTTTCATATCAATTGACAACTAATTGATGTAAAAATATTCTCACACTTGATCGTATGAGAGAATTTTTTTATGTAAAATTCTTTTTTAGAAAACATTTTCACGCGAACCAAATTAGTGTTCATGTAAAATTAGTGCTGTCATGTGAAAATATTTTCATGTAAAAATATTTTTTAGAAAACATTTTCCAGAGAACATTTTCATGTGGAATTTCATGTGAAAAATATTTTCATATGAAAATATTTTCATGTGAAAACATTTTCTAGAAAACATGTTTTAGAAAATAGTTTTCTAGATAACATTTCTAGAGAACTTTATTCATATGAAAACATTTTCATGTGAGAGCATTTTCTCTAGAAAACATTTTCATGTGAGTGTATTTTTCTAGAAAACATTTTCATGTGAAAACATTTTCACTAGAAAACAATTTTTTAGAAAACATTTTTTAGTAAACATTATCATATGAAAAACATTTTCATATTAGATTTTCTAGAAAATATTTTTCTAGAAACCATTTTCTAGCAAACATTTTCTAGAGAAAACATTGTCATATAAAAATATTTTCATGTGAAAACTAGAAAGCATTTTCATGTGAGAACATTTTCTAGATAAAACATTTTCATGTGAAAATGTTTTCTAGAAAACATTTTTTCATGTAAAAGTAGTGTTCCACATCTAAGTCAAGTTTGTTTAATCTATGCATCCAATATGTATTTTGTCTTTATGTAGGAGTCCTTTTAACTCGCTCTCAACTAAATAGGACAACTAAATAGGATATTGAATGTAATACTCCTTTTTTTAAATTTCTTTCATGAGAACAATGCATGCATATGATTTTATTTTTTTGGGTTTGTCCTGTGTTAGCATGTGTGCACGTGCTTTATCAATCCACATATGCACTTAGAGAAGGATCTCTTTCCTCTATGATAAGAGTTGGCAATGGGACGAGCCTAGGTCGGGCCACCCTTGGCCCGAGCCCAATTGATATAGGGCTGGCCCAGGCATGGACCAAACCAAAGGAGGCCGTGGCCAAGGCCGGGCCATAGCCTTATTAAGGTGGGGCTGGGTGAACCCAGCCAGCCGTGTTATGGCTTGGCCCAAGCTCAGCATGGCCCTAGAGTGGGTCCTATCCCAGCACTCAGGCCACATTTTGTAGGCCTAAACCCTATTTTTTTTACGGCCAGGCCACTTGCTCCATTGCCACCCATGCTTCTTTCCTTTTTTTTTTGATAATATTCAGAGCTTTTTATTGATAATTCAAAAGATTACATAGGATAGTTCCAACACACTCAAAACGTCATTACTAATAACTGAATCTGAAAGAGAAGCCTTTAGCTAACTCATTTGCAACACCATTGACTTCCCATTAAACATGATAGGACAAAACCCTCAGTACTGCTGCTAGGTCCAAAATTTCTAACCAGTATTGCCGCAACTGCCATGGGACTTTTTGCTCTTTCTTACACTATAAAATTGTATTCAATAAATCCCCTTCCACCATATAAACCCCATTCAATTGCCTATTCTTTAAAACCCTCAATCCTTGCAGCTATGAGGCCATTTCAGCCTCATTTGCCGATTTAATCCCCATAAGGTCCCGCATGGCATAAGACCACAACCCCATTCTAATCACATAATACCCCACCCTTTCTCGTCATACCCGGAATACCAATATAACTTTCATCAAAATTCAACTTATAGCACCCATGCATCAGGAGACACTACCTCACTTTTGGCCTACACTTAACTCTACTAATCTTGAACAAATTCTTTAGATTAGCCAAAACATCAATTTCATAAACTCCCTAGCCTTCTTTTAGAACCGACAACCAACTCCCAAATCATCTTTCACAACGGGTTTAGGGTTTAGAGGTTCAGGGTTTAGGGTTTAAGGTTCAGGGTTCAGGGTTCTGAGTTTTAGGGTTTTGGGTTTCGGGTTTCGAGTTTAGGGTTTAGGGTGTTTCGGGTTTCGGGCTCTGGGTTATGGGTTCAGGGTTTAGGGTTTTTTTGTTTATACGTTTTCTTCGATATTTTCATTCATTGATGGCTAGGGGTGACTATCAGATCGACTAACCGGGTCTAGTTCTGGGTCATGTTTTGGACCCGGGTGGGTTGGTTCCGGGTCTGGCTTGGACCCGGGTGGGTTGGTTCCGGGTCTGGCATGGACCCTATCGGGTTGGGTGGAGGTTGACTTGATATAAAAT